GCGCCATTTTTAGGCTTCTGAGTTTTGACACGAGCGGCGCCACACGACCATGACCATGGGTGATCGCCAGCCACTTGGAGACGCGGCCACGCGGGCGCAGGCCGGGCCCCGTGAAAGAAAGCATGTGTGCGCAGTACGCACCTGCGCTCGCCCTCTCGCTTTCGCTGAAATCCACTCCTCCGCCATCGGCATTGCCGCCCTGGGTGCCCAGCTCGCTTTCTCTCGCTCCGAGTCGATGATCAGCCATGCACGCGTGCTCCAAAGGACATCGCCGTCTACTCCCACCATCCTATCATCACTGCATGCGGTGCAGTGCGTGGACCGCAGCCTGTCGCGAATGCTTTCGATCACAGAAACTCTGGACGCAACAGGCCGGCAGCTAGCTTGCATCTGTTACATGACAGAAAAGTAGGAGGACAACGTACCGTCCTCCACTCATCCAACACGAAATCGAATTTCCAGAGGCTTAGGCCCCGTATAGTTAAATGTAGGTAAAAAAAACTAATTTTGGAAATCACGAGATAAAAGCTTAGTTATATGATTGGACAATATTTACCAAATAAGACGAAAGTGCTACTATTCATCGGGTTGAATTTTTTTTCAATCTAAATAAGGCCCAACACGAAATCGAATTTCCAGAGGCTTAGGCCCCGTTTAGTTTCAAAAAAATTTCACCTCAAAAGGTTATATCGAATCGTCGCACATACATTGGAAACTAACTTTTAGTCCATGATTAAATTTCGAACCTAATTAGTCCATAATTAGACACTAATTGCTAAATACAAACGAAAAGCCTACAGTAGCCAAAACAAAAAAAATCGCCAACTAGGGCACGTTTAGTTTGTGAAATTTTTTGGGTTTGTTTACTGTAGCACTTTTGTTTGTATTTTGCAATTAGTGTCTAATTATGGATTAATTATGTTCGAAAGTTTCGTCTTGCGATTTCTCACCCAACTGTGTAATTAGTTTTTTTTTCATCTATATTTAATGCTCTATACATACGTCCAAAATTCAATGTAATGGGCAAAAACTAAAAATTTTTGAAACTAAACGCTCCTCGTACTACCGAAATAAAATCTGTCAAAACTCAAACGCTCCAAATTCAATGAGTTTTTTTTTCAGGAGGCCTATTCATTTATCTTATAATCCGTCTTTTTAACTTGTTTTTTTAGTCGAAACGATATTTTTCTCTCATAATAAATCAATCGGAACAATGTTTTGATTTGTTTTCCAGCGAAACTAACAATGCTACAGTACTACACTGGAGTGCTGGACAAAATGGTTTGCGCATAGATCGGTCATGATACAGCGCCGATACGATCATCAGACACTCCGAGTTCTACAAAGACGTCCTCAGGTGCTGCCGAGGGCACACCTGAGAATGAACTGACGTCTGTCACAGCATTATGTTCGCTTGATCATATCAATCATATTTATCAGTTTTAATATAGTATTTTTCTCACAACAAACGAAGATCAGCCGGTTTATAATCAGAACGTAGGTGTACGTGTACCACAGTGGTGCGACAGTTGCGTCACGCTCACACCGAAAGAATACAGGGAAAGTGTGACATTGACATGGTAGCAGAAATGCACTGCTCCTCCTATTCCGTGCAGGAAGAGGAACTGTGTACTCCTCCATATACCAAAATAAGCACATCTTTGAGATCAAAAGAAAAAAAACACATCTTTACTTTTTGATTAGTTAGTCCTTTTTAAATTTGAATAGATCTATTTAAAAAATCAATAACAGTTGTATCTTCTGATATGATTATCATGAAAATATATGTCTCTTTTAGTTAACTAAGATGTGCAATTATTTTGATGCGGAGAAGAGTATCATATTAATTGTCGATAAGCTTTCAAACATTTAGACCATGTTCATTTTCTTTTATAATTTATTTTTTTCAGCTTGCATTTTCAGCTGGAATAGCTTTTTTTCTCTCACAACAAATCAACCAAAACAGTGTTTTGTCTTGTTTTTTCAGCGAAGCGAACGGGGCCTTAGCTGACGACGAACACCACGTGATGATGCCATGAGCGACTCTCCAACGTACAAGCTTTCAAACATTCCTGTCGGTGACGTTTGGTTTGTGGGGTAAGAGGGTGGGAAAGGGATATCATAACCCAATGACCTCATAACCCATGTTTGGTTTTATGGATTGGGAAACACAGTGGGTTTGGGTTTGAAAAACTAGAGCCTCGTATCCCACCAAAACCATCCCGCTGGGGAGGGGTGGGTTACGAACGGGATATGGCATCTGCGTCGTCTTCCTTGTCATTGGGAGCAGTGCGGCACGTGCGGGCTCGAGCTAGGGAGGGAGCTTGAAGGCGAGGTGGAGCAGAGAACCGTCGCTTCGCGTTGCACCGCCTCCATCTGCTCCGCCGGCCGTAGCTGCCTCGCCAAGCGCGCGAGACACCGCCGCCGCCCTCTCGTGGAGCCTCGCATGCGGCGACCTTCGGAGGCACGGAAGCAGTGCACGCCCGGTGACCTTCATGAGCCGCCCACGTGGGGTGAGCCGTCGGCAGGGAGCTGCTAGCACTGTGCGCCTTCATGATTGGATCTGACGAAGCTGGATGCCTGGAACTGAGCGCAGCGATCTCACGAGGTAGAAGAAAGACTTTTTTCTGTTTTTTTTTTTATTTTGTGGGCCCCACCGCATAACACATCCCAATCCAAGATAAAGCCAAACGTGGGAAATGGATACAATCTTGTATTCTCATCCCTAACCCACACCATCTTTTCTATCCCCGTAGCCCAAACCCATTCCCCATGGCTAACCAAACGCCACCTTCGTGCCGTTTTTTCAGAGAGGGAGGACTGCGTTCTTCAACTGATCAACTGTGTTGCGCAGGATTGAAACTAGGCCGCCGAACTAGAAGGCATTTGGACATTATCTGTTGTGGCTTGGGCTCAGGACAACCATGGGCTCAGGATTCAAGTGCAGCCCAAAAAGCAGGTGGCGATTAAGGTTGCCAGGCAGATGGGCAGAAGGAATATATAAACCGGCTAAACTGTGCACAATAACTTGTGCGGTGGTAGCACATTGCACACAGCAATCAAATTAGCTATAGAAGTACCACGTCAATCCCATATAGCTGTAGCACACAAACACAACAATCAGAGTAGTAGATGTAGAATTACATCGTCAATCCGAGATAGCTGTAGAAATAAATGTAGAAGTACAATGCGTGGACACGTGGAATCGGAATTGAGTTACAGACAGTAGTACTCGCCAATGTACCAATCTCAATCTCCATCAATACGATAATGCTTCCTCGCGGGCGTCCGTCCGTGCGGACGCCGCGCACCACACTCCGCCTTGTTGCTTTTCCGCCGCATTGCTTGCTCCTACTTGTGCCTCGCCCGCAACACTGCTGCCTCCCGTCGATCGCCCTGCTCGTCGCGTGCCCCGACCGTGTGGATTCGATCCGCGCGTCACGCGGCCCGCCCACTGCACGGCCATCCCTCGCCGCGCCCCCATCTTGCGTGGTTGCGCGCGTGCATTGCCTCTGCTCCCCATCTCTCGCTCTCTATCTCGCGTCCGCTGAGCAGAGCACCTCCCAGGCCTCTTCCCTACCCCCCAACACCGCCGGGATGCCTCGCTGCAGCCGCCCCTACCGATGGCCGCTGTGGGCGCGTGTCGGGTCGCCTCGGGTCATCCCCGGTTGAGCCAAGGACACCCACGAGCGCGGTCGGATGCTCGCCGCCGGCTCCCACCCTGACGACCGGAATCGACCAGCCCAGGCCCCCTTCCCCTACGTTGTAAATGTATGTTTCAAGTGTTTCAGTAGTTTTAAAGGTATGTTGCAAGTGTTTCTCATGGATGTTGCAAAAATAGATCGAGGATGTTGCACATGTTACATATGTTGCAAGTGTTTCAAAGGCATGTTGCAAGCGTTTGTTCAAAATATTTCATCTGGATGTTACATATGTTTGCAATGGCTATGTTGTGAGTGTATGTTTCAAATGTTTCATCTTTTTGAGACGCATGTTGCAATTGTTTCATCTGAGTGTTGCAAAAGTAGATATCAATGTAGGGCTATTGAGCGAGGAAGAGAGAGCTAGCGCAGGAGCCATGGCGACATCGACTGATAAGCTGGCGGCAGCGACCAGAGGACGCATAGGGTCATGTCCGCGCTATCGCACGTGGCCTGTTCTCGGTACGACATGCTACCTTCGCTAGCCCCGCCCGAAGGTCCTAGACCAAAAGCTTGTGGCAAAACACGAGGAGATGTAGAACCTAGCTATGGAGAACGAGCAGCTTGCTGCAAGCCACGCCGCAGGTGACACAAGCGCAGCGGGCGGGCTCCCCTTTTATACGAGCACGGCAGACGCTCTATTAAGCGGGGGACGGGATAGGGTGCAGCGGAGCTGCATCCGAACACGGGCCTGGGATCAGAAGTCCGGGCGCTAGTTATTCCCCCATTTCTATCTCAAACACGCTAACTTCTAAACAGCCAAACACAGGCTGAACGACATATACTCAGCTACGACATGTCCTAGCTAAGTTCCAGAAACATGCATCCAAACACCAGTAATAAGGATCCAATCGGAGGCTTCCCACCAAACAAAGAAATACAAATTGTACGCCACAGCCAGGGACCAGGAAATAAGGCTTCCCTCCAAACCGAGAAATTCAGGAAATAAATCAGAGGCTTCAAAGGCAAATGCAACGCGGTAAACGGACACTCACCACTGCAAGTCCACAGGGTCTCAAATGAGACAAGAAACATAAGCAGAAGCAAAACATCATAGAACGAAAGGGGCCAAAATTATTTTTTTCAATAAAAAAGAAGGCAAAATTATAATCTTCACATTCCAGTAAAGGTACCACTATGGCGCAACATTTTACAATGAGTAATTACAAAAAAAAGGGATTATGTGAAACATTCTTTTCTCTATATATCCTAGCTGCCCATTGATTCTGACAGAAATTCCTAGCTTCGACATACTGTTGTAAAATCCACTTCAAGTTTAAAGGTGGCCTTCCCTCAGGCTCAAACCACTTGGTAATTATGAGTAACCATTCGAATCCTCTGAGAAAATTTGGGAGGGCTGCCTTCCCTTAATGGATGAATGGTGGTAACCTGAAATAATGATGTGCATAGCATCACAAAAACACATACAAGGTAAAAAACATAAATTCAGGAAGTAGCGTACATTTAGCTGACAAATGCATCATAGTTTATCAAGCTGACAGTTGGGACAGTGGACAATCAGTTTTACAACATTGCTCTTATGTACAACCTCCATATACAAGTGCATCTTTTCCTATCTGCCTTCAATTGTAGTAAAAATCCCAGCCTTAAGTTTATGGACGAGTACAAAGAAGGGCATAAGATGGTTGAAAACTCTACTGCAAAGCGGTGGATATCATTATTATTTTTATGAACCAGTGAGTGGAGATATTTGTTTGGGTTTTTAAACAAAAATTCAACCTTGAAAGCAAACCAGAAGCTAAGGATAAGCATAGGACGGTTCGTACATCGTACTACATACAATAGGAACAGTTTAAAAGGAGGGAGGGAGGATATTATAGTTTAAGGTATGGAAGTAGGAAGAGTCATGGGTGGTGTTTTATGGCAAATTGAGTGGAGTGGCCAGTCCATAAACAATGCTAAACTCATCAGAGCCAATACAATTATGGGATGAAACTATAGTTGTCCAAACGGGCCGCCCAGGCACGGCACGGCACTAGCACACCGAGGCCGCAGACGGCGAGGCACGCGGCGGCGCTGCGTGCGTCGCCGTATCGTGTCGCGTTAATGCCGTCGCGCCAGCACGCAGCAGACTACGGCCGCGTTGAACTGCCGTGCCATGCCGCTGGCACGGGCGACCCCTAGTGCCCGCCGTGCCGCCGGCGCGCGCCATGCCGCCGCGCCGCCGCGCCACTCATCGCGCCGCGCGTCCGCGCGTCATGCCGCACCGTTGAGCCCCATGCGTGTCCGCTCAGCGCGAGCGCGCCGTTGCCATTGCCGCCGCTGCAGATCCCGCCGCTACGCGCTTGCCGCTGCCACCACGCTGCGTCAGGCGAGCCGCGCCGCCTCCGCGCCTCGCCACAAAGCCGCTGCAGTGAAGGAGAAGCCGCGGGAGGGTGGAGAAACGGGAGCGGCGGGCTTGGAGCGAAGCGTGTGAGGGAGAGCGAGTGCGTGAAGGAGGCAGAGGGAGTGGCGTGAAGGAGTCGGAGGGAGCGGCGGTGTGGACAGGAAACTCAGAGGTGTGGGAAGAAAGTTAGGTTTTGTGATCCAACGGTTGTGATTCATCCAGAGGAAATCCAACGATCTAAAATAATCGGGCCGCATCGTGCCAGCCCAAAAACCGTGCCGTGCCCGGGCCGGCACTACGGGCCGTTGTGGAGGCCCAGGCACGGGCACGAGGCAGGCCGTGCCGCACCGGGCCTGGGCCGTGCTTTTTCGGACCAGGCCAGTGCCGGCCCAGCGTGTCTAAGCCCATCTGGACAACTATAGATGAAACAAATCAACCAAGTGAAATTCAACATTCCAAGGTGTGTAATTCTAACGTGACCATTTTTTTTTTTTGAAAGAAATTCTAAAGTGACCAGTTGTCCCTCCAATTTTCTCATTATGCTCCTACTCATACTTCAGTATGCTCATAGTTCAGAAGATGGAGGATAATGGGTAAGCTCCTTTGGGAAAAACAAAAGAACCAACCTTCAAATCACTGAAGGTACTTGACGCAGAAAATCCAACGGAGATGGGAAAAAATGTTGATGGATCAGCTGCAGGAACAGCAAATTCCATAGAACCACTGGAGATGAAAGGAAAGCAAGCATTAGCAACTGTCTGTGTGCATGTGTTGAGGGGGTGGGGGGATGGATCATGAGGTCATGTACCTGCGGTTGGACTGATCAATAAGAATAATTGACCATTCCAACACTGAGTTTCTTGAGTCATACCTGCATGCAAGAAAGTGAGAAAAGTTAATACATAAGGCTAGAGGCCAGCTGGAGGGGCTAACAGAGAGAACATATAAGTGCCGAGATAAATTTAACTAAAGGAACAGATTTTCAAAAAAAGCAAATCCTTGGATATACTTCTAACAGGAATTATTATTCAGTATCAAATATTAAGTTATAAAAACACAGTCTAGAGATAGTTTTGTGGACCTAGTATTCAATCAACGAAAAAATAACTTCTATACCAGATTACCAATAGGCCTAGACTTGCTTCCTGTATACATCCCAGCTTCTTGTAAAACAAAATGTGGAAGTATACCTCAGCAAACACAAACCCTCCCCTCACACCCCCACCAAAAGAAATTGGGATTGTAAAAAAATAATCATAAAAGGTAACACTCCCACTGTTTGTACCGAATGGTCAAGTGAACTCTTCCATGCTCTCCACAGCTTCACCTTTGTTATACAACCTAAGCTTCCTATTCGCACCCAAAGGCTTGTTGGATGTAATAAAGCTCTTAGCATTATTTGGATTGTACAGATTTTTCTTGAGACGTACACACCACCGAAGTATTTAAAGACAGGTAACACAAAGGTTTCAAAACATACTTCCATTCTCCATCTATCTGTCTAACACTTGGAGCCTCCCTGAGTGCAGGCAAAGGTATAGAAATGGCAATGTTGTGCAAATCAAACATCTCAGAAGCTTCGTACTCAATGTTCACGTGTGTTTCACTTCCAGAGACTGAAGGCCAGCAATTAACTGCAAGTGGCAAAAACAGGTTACAATTCTAAATTTGCAAGTACATACAGAAGACAGTTGAAATATACCTGACAATGGCAGAGATGGCTCATCCAACTCCTGGATTCTCCATTTCACAAGAGGGGTTTCATTTTGACCACTGGGGAAAGGCCTGTTTGGATCTTTTGCAGCAACAATTTGCTGACTATTGAACAACTCTTTGTTAATATAAGGGTGTGTCTTGAAGCTAAGTCCAGGTAGATCTTGGTTCTCGATCTGTAAACCATACGAATATAGGATATTTATTATCCTCTAATTAAAATTACTTTAGTCAGAAAAATATTGTTAAGCAAAAATGCAGCCCTGGAATCAGGTGATAATGATCATACATATCAGGTTATGATAGAAGGGTTTACCCAATAAGGTTTAAATAAATTTGAGAAAATCTCAAGGCATATAACAGAAACAGTGTGTGTGTGTGTGTGTGTGGCAAACAATTCACAAGAGACTGGTAGTAGGCCGTTAATTGCTATGACAAATCTTCCAGGGACAAATTGAATGATATATCGCACTATTGCAGTATGACCAAATGTAAAAGGTCCCGAAGAAAATATAGAAAATAACCTGCAACTGGATAAAACCGTTGGTGTCATTCAGAACTTGGAGAGCAAGGGTTCCTTGAATATCAAAATTATGAATTCCACCATCCCTTTTAACAGTGGCATTGATCTTTTCTTCAATTGCCACTGTGATAGGATCAGTTGGTGGGGCAGATGGCAGCCTTGACTGAATTCCACTTTGTTGAGTGTCCTTAGAAATGAGTTCTCCTTCAGCTTTCAAAGATTCAAGGAACTGATTTGTCTTCTGTGCATTGCCCAATTTCATACCACCAGCCACTTTACTAGTAGCAGTAGGAGCAGAAGAATGAGCTGTACAAGTAAAATAAAAATGACAATTAATCAACATAATAATAGCCGCTCCAAATAGAGGCGTCCACTATTGAACGGTAATAGTAAATGCAACATGTTGGTTCCTTTCAAAATTCACTTGAAAGCTGAGACCAAATCGACCTGAAAGTTGTATGATCAATTTGAGATTTCAGACCAAAAGTTCTGAAAGATAAAAAATTTACTGTCCACTATATTCAGCTCTTAACACAAATCAGTACTATGTAACCATCAACATCAGTAATAAAATAATCAACGGCGTCAGAATTTCCACATATTCAGTATGCATTAGTTTGTGTACCAACCTTTGGCCTTTTGAGCAAACAACTCCCCAAATATAGGATCACCCCCTAGACCACTCCCTCTGGTGTTCATGTCATTAACAACGTTTGTAGTCCTCTGGGGGCCAAATGCATTTTCAGTCTTGCCTCTACCAATCTGCATAAATTACAACAAATTGCCAAATGTTGGTCATAATCTTCTGCAATACTAGTGCAACTGCAAGTTAGTCAAAGAGCACTGTTAATCACAAAAAGCTTTGCAGGGGTACTCCATGTTTACTCCTTCCAGAAGATATTAAATTTCCAAGAGAAAAATGACAGTACTGCATGCTGCAAACAAAACACCATGATCGAAATAGGAAAAACACTTTGTCTAACCAGAATTTCAAAGGCAATCAAAGACCCATGTGCCACAAAATATAAATGAAGAATTCAAAAGAAGAAAAATGCCCAATAGTTTGCCATTTTTTTTGGTAAGAAAGTAACCCAGCTCTACCCACAACATGGCACACCAAATTATAGCAAACATCCAAACAGAGACAAGGAGGCATGACTTTGAACTGGTGCCACAACTAACACTCTACACCAAAATATTTAAATCAAGATTCCAGGAATTTACAAGATTCCAGGAATTTATGGGTGGGTTATATTTCCAATCTAGAACTTTCAAATATAATAACTTGGTTCAATTTCATCAAGTTCACCATTTTTTATCTTTTTGCAATATAGTTTGTGAGACGAAATAAGTCAATCAATGACTATTTCTCTCAAAATTTTATAAAAGATTAATAACGATGACCTGGAGAAGCCGCATCGCAAGCATGAAAGTGTTGAAAGTAATAATGACTATTGCCATGATTACAAGATTGTAATTACAAGATTAAGTTAGACCAACAGAAGAGGTAATATACTGATAAAAGAATGTGACAGTGACGAGAAACACTCCTATAGTCCTATCTTTCAGTATTTTATCAGCAACTACATAACTGGAATATAACTAATAAAAGACAGTGATTATTATATTAAAGATCCCATGTCAGGAACTAAATGCAGTATCAAACAAGGACAAACTCAAATAGTAAATCTTTTTGCATGTTTTTAGAGTTGTCACGGCTATTGGCTATGTTTACAAAATTTCAACTTTAACAGTATATAGGCAGGTAAAAAGAAAATCCCTTGATGTTGAATATTCAAGAGAAGTGCATGTTCCTTTGAGGAAAAGAATAGGACGAACCTTGCTTTTCTCAATCTCAGTAACTCGTTGCCTCATGCGATCCCTAGTTTCATTTATTTTGCTTTGCATGACGAGTTTGTACAGCTTCTCTTCATGGCTCTCCATCTCACAATACTGTTTAACTTGAGCAACAGTAACATTTTCTTTGTTTCCAAGGGAAATGGCTTCATCAAAAGCAGAAGTGAGGTCAAATGCCGCCCGACAAACACCTTCCTCATCCAAAGAGGGGGAGTATTCAGGTACCTTTGTATGTGTTCAAGGAATCACTGAATTGAATTGGCATTTTGAAGATGGAAATGCTATAAGCTTAGAATTAGGTCCTAAGCAAGGGCAAGTGGTACTAACATAGTGATTCATGTGTTAACCTTGGTTCCAAAAGCAAGAGCGTATTTATGCTTGTGCATAATGTTCTTTCTTTGATCTTATAAAAGGAAAACATGCATCCAATGCCAGTAACAAAAATTAATAATACAGAGATGGCAAAAATAAATCCATTTTATGATGTTGACAACACGACTTTTGAGCGGTATAAACTAGCCTTTGATGGTAGGAATATAACATAAAAACTGGGAACAGGATACAAGTTTAGAAAGCAGCCTCAGTGTCTCCAGGTCTTCAAGAATGTTACTCTGCTTATTTGTGATGACTAGCAGATATAAGGCTTCAATAGGCTGATAAACATAACGGACATTTTCAGTCTCAACATAAGTGTGCTGCTTTCCAGTTCCCACCAACTTCGGAAATGCTGCAAGTAGTCCCTCAATTCTGCTTCGAGACATATCAACAAATTGTCTTGAAACAAGTGCTGCAGTTGAAGAAAAACATAAACAACACATTATTTGCTATTAGAAAAAATCATCACACAAATACAGAAAAAATGTTGGCCGTAGCTTGACAAAAATTAAATGCATCAAAGTAAACCTATAAATCTACTTAACAGAGCCCATTGCACAAAGTTGATATACGTGTTGTTGTTTTGACACAATTGTAGACCCATGGCTCATATACATGCTAATATGCTATATGAACAAAAAGTAAATACAATGCAAGTGTTCAGGGCAGATTAAATATATACATACGTAGCTACAAAAAATTAAAAGAGAGTTACGTGTTTCAGAAACAGATATCATTAAAGAATCAACAATAATATTCAGAATTAGTAAATGGGCAATAACCAGCTTACCTTTTCCAGACTTTGACACTACAGAGGCTGCAAGAACCACCTGTAATACATAAAAGGGAAAAAGACTGAACTGTCAGATTCTTATGGATACCAAGACATGGGATGCAATGAAGATTGCAGGAAAAACGCATATCAATCACCATAATACTCTCTCAAAATGTCTAGATTCTAGAACAAGTGAATTAGTTTATAAAAAGGGAAACACGATATAACGTTGAGTCAATCGATAATACCATTTTCAATAGTTCTGTCACCCAGGAATAACCAAAGCTGAATCAGTGAGCTACTTGAACTGCAAAAGGAGAGGAATTAGTTCCACAAACAAAAGACAATGTACGATAATATAACAAAGCAGCTCGTAAGATGTGCATGAGCACAACATTCAGTACACAGAGAACCTAGTCACAAAGAATCAATGGGATTTACATGTAGGTATCGTAAGTTGGTAAAATGCAATAAGATATGCCAAACGCGTAACAAATATTCCCAGGCCTCGGGGGAAGACAGTGCAGGGCCCTATAAAGTTTTTAAGAATCTCGATGACAACAAGCAAGAGAATAACAGATCAGCATATATCTCAAAACAATGAGGACTTGTGAGATTTTTTTTCTTCATAAAAGCCTGTAATTAGCACAACTGATTTTTCTCATATTGTCCAGGTTTCACCATACATTAACCAAACAAGGTTTCACCAAAACTGAATTTCATTATGTCATGCTGGTTTTATCATGCGCTTAGCAGGGGCGGACCCAGTAAAGGACGTGGGTGTACACATGTATGTACACCGAATAATTTTTGCAAAGCAATCGAAGTTAGTAGGCATAATACATGCATATACACCTGTAATTAGATTCAGATCCGATTACGAACAGTATGTTAGGGTTTGGGCGGGCGGTTTTACCTACGAATTACGTTAAGGTTTGGCCGCACGGCTTCGCACAGCAGGAAGGGAGGACCAAGGGGAGGGAATACCTGGTGTCCTGGTGGTGCTCGTCGCCGGCCAAGGTGGCGAGTGGCGAGTGGCGAAGTAGGACAGCAGCGACGGTCGCGGGGACACCGGGGCTGCAGAGGGCGGACGCCGCCCCGGAGCTGGTCGCGAGGACGCTGGGTCCCAGGTGGTGATCGACCGAGCGCAGTCTCCTCTCCGGGGTTGCGGCGCGGTGAGCGGACGGAGGAGATCGGCCGCTGGCGAGACGAGTTCAGGCGGCGGGCCAAGGGTCGAGCCGAGGTTAGAAAAAGCGCTAGGCGGGCTGGCCCAAGAGCCCAGATGGGCGGGCCGTGAGTTCGGACATTGTTGCAGCAAGTGACCGTGGCGATGCCTACTCGTGGACCATGTCCCGTACTGACATGTATGTGGGTGGATTCCTCCGTTCTGGTATGCATCGTTACATTTCGTGTCCCACCCGCCCGGGAGGATTTCGATCGACGCAAATGACAAACGACAGTTCCTGGGTCGGAGCGTGCATGGCCGGATCTCTGGTAGTCTGGTTTGCTTTGCAATAACTGGCCAACCGGACCCCAAAGAAGACGTATTCGTTTGGTTCGTGAATTATCAGAACGATCGTAAATTTTAAATTTAAAATAATATTTTTTTCTCACACAAACCAAAGAAAAAGATTCTCTTCACGTAACCAAGTAATTATATGAACCAACCAACCGAATGCGCAATTTGAAGAAGCATCGCAACCAGTGGCACGGGGTGGTGGTCACGTCCTCGGCCTTGGCTCATTGGCTCATTGCTCGTGCCGGGACATCCGAAACCACCGATTCGACTGGCCAGGCAAGAGGCAACTCATGCATGGACCCCACCCAGTGGCGGAGAAAGAAATAAAATTAAGGTGTGGCGAAGTCGATAACAATGACCCATAAACAATAATTTTTCCCTAAAAATAAAGTAGTATCTATACCTATGGTGTATAAAATAATGTCGCTAATTGCAATATGCACGTTTCATTTTGGCATTGTTTATCTCCTACTCCCTCCATCACAAAAAAAAAAAGATGTTATGGGATGCGTGTAAATCAAACTTTCTCAACTTTGATTAGATTTATAGAAAATGCATGCAACATTTTTATCTCCAAATAAGTTTATTATGAAAGTACATTCAACAATCTATCTAATAATATTAATTATGCATTATAAATATTAATATTCTTTTATATATAACTGGTCAAAGTTAGAAAAAGCTGATTTCTCGAGAAGCGAGAATGACTTATATTTTAGGACAGAGGGAGTACCATGTGCCATCCATCTTTGCTTTCACCGTTCTTCTTAATTTCTAAATTAGCTAACCAATTAAATAAAATCAAACAAATGAAGATGTAAATAAGTCATAAACAATTAATCAAACAATGAGTCACAATACCTTACTAGCAAAGCAGCGAAGATAAGCCTTGACCAATGGGCAATGCTTTCACCCTTTTCGCTAGATCGTTTCTGTGACTTATAAATCGACTGATGATGTTTTGTTGTAAGAAAAAATACTGTATCATGGCTCATAAGCATGGTTGATACGATCAAGCGAACATGTACTTATTATCTATCAGCTTATGGCCCCGTTCGTGTGCCCTTAAACCCGACTTGATCCGCTTATTTTTTTCATCCGGAACAGTATTTTTCTCTCATAAATTCCTCCAACATTCCTACAGAATTCAGACAAGCGAACAGACCATATTTCTCGAACTGCCAATCGATATCTTGCGTGAATGCCGGACACGAACCAGCAGCTGACCACCAGCGATTTCGAAGGGCTAACCGCGGCAGAATTGAGGTATGGCGAGGGCCATACCTCGCCGTATCGGAAGCTCCGCCCCTGCCCCCACCACACCTAGCTGTTCCGCCACTGACCCCACTGGGAGGGGCCTCTCTTCCTGGGGAAAAATTAGATGCGCGATTGGCGCACTGAGGCGGCCGTGCGCCCCTTCGCTCGATGTGTGACGCGTGGCAAGTCGCTCGCATCGGCCAGGTCAGTCACATGCATATGCACCACTAGACGCTAGCCTTCGCGGGGAGGTGACCGCACGGCACGTCCAAAAGGCAACACATCTAACCGTACCAAGCAACCCTAGCCTTCGCGGCTTCACCGAGCGCCGGCCACCTCGTCCGGTCCGGCGGCCCACGCCGCTTCCTCGTCCATCAGCCTGGTTGCGTTCGCCAACTTTCGAAGTGGAAGTTCTGGACACGCCAGACCCACCGACTATACACTGTGGTGGAACCGCTGCTGCTGTGATTATTGTCCTCTTTTCCGTTCCTAACCCCCGACCCCGACGTTTTCCTAGGCAGTTTCACCGGCGGCAGCCCGTAACGCGCTCGCGACGCAATCATAGAGGTGGGGCCCCGGTAACATGCGGCGAGGGCGATGAAAGGTGCCTGTCTGTTGGGGGATCGGATGGCGTGGGCCGTGGGGGGTAGGAGGCAACTCTTGGTCTGGGGCTAACGACCATTGCTTGTCACGGGCTCCAGGTGACAAAGCAACGGATCCTGCTGCTCGATCATGTCCCGGAAAAGGGTGCCACGGGTCGCCACCATCGTTGTGCGCTGCTAGCTGGCCGATTCCGGCCTGGCTCACGTCGAATTACTACTTACTCCAACCTGCAGCTGCAAGCAAGCCCTCCCTCCACTGTCCCACTCACAAAAGGAGTTGGTTAGCTCAGCTCATCAGTAGGCGCACGCATGATAATAACAATAGAAGAAAAAAAAAGCTCTCATCCATGCAGTTCGGGGAACAGGCAGCACAAGAGGAGCATGGACGCGTCACCATGTTGCTGCACTGTCACTGCCTTGCTTCGGTTGATGAGTAATGTTACAAAAGCAGGCTTTCAGGTACAGAGGGAATCCATCGATCAGTGGGGACACACAAAGCTTTGAGCCTAAGCAAAACGGTCCCATGATCACCCACATGAGGCGACGCGAGACGACGGCCGGCGGCCGACGGCGGATGCAGTCCAGCCGCTTGGTTTGGGCCTTGTTCACTTTGCAAATTTTTCTGAACCCGATAAATACACTTTCGTCTTATTTGGTAAATATTATCAATCGTGGACCAACTAGGCTCAAAAGATTCATCTCGTGATTTTCAACTAAAGTGTGTAATTAGTTATTTTTTTTATCTATATTTAATACTCCATGCAAACGGCTAAAAATTGATGTAATGAAAAGAGAGTGAAAAAAATTGAAATTTAGATGACATCTAAACAAGGCCTTGGTACAAATCTGACACGGAAAATGACCAATAAATATACAGAAGCATGGATTGTTTTGTTTCCGCAGCTACCGCGTGGTGGATGGAAGGGAGACAGACAAGGGCCCGGAGGAAATCAGAACGCAACAGATACAATAGTCGGCCGGCTCACGGACATCGGTCAGTCAGATCGACGCACCATTAGTCATCTGCAGCAGAGACCAGACATGGTTGTCTCCAATCAGTAAACCAGCTGAACCGAGCAATCTTTCATCTTTGGTCTATGGTGTCAGCAGGAACGCACGCAACTTACCGTTGGGAGACTGGGAGCTGGCCACGGAGAAGTCCGAGGACGCCATGGGTATGGACATCGACAGCTGGGTCGCCGGGAACGAGCAGGCGAGGCTAGCGTTCTCGTCGGAGAGGCCCGGCCAGGAGTCCCTCGCCTTGGGCCACTCGTCGAAGAAGGGCCGCAGCGTCTGGTTCTCCTGCTGCTTCGCAGCGGAGTCCATGGCCCCGCCAAAGTCGGAGTTCCCTAGGAAGGAGAGTCGCTGCTGCCGCTCCATCTTCGACAGCGAGCTGACCGTGCTTTGACCCAGGTCGCTCAGCGCCCCAAACTGGGGGTAGCTCGAGAGCGGAAACGAAGAGGTTTGAGACGGCGGAAGGCGCCACTGGTTCTCCATTGATGAGTCAATAGCTTCTGAAATCAGCTGGCTGTGCTCGTCCGCCAAAGATCTTATTCCGTAAGCGTTATACCTGAATTTCAGAAAGCAGGGTGGACACCACAAATTAGTAGGGGATGCAAAGAAAAAAGACACAAGCCAAAAAAAAACTACAGTATGTTTTCTTCTCGTGAGCTAATAGTCTTCACTATGCTGTTTGATAAATTCTACTGAACAAAAAAAGAAAACGTTTCTAAGAATGAACAGATAACCAAAGAACGACACAAGTTACAATTGTCCTCGGCTGGTACATGATCAAATCTATTGATACACTGATAAACACATAAAAACAACCATAGCATTCGAAATCAAATTACCATCGAATTAGCTGTTTCATTTTAGACTTATGCAATGACCAAACACCTAAACAAACTGACCATGATTGGTTTGTACGTAGTATGTAAGATTCAGATAAAAAATATTTTCATGTCAAAAAGCTTCTAGTTACAAAGACACGTGACACAGTGTTTTCAGTAAAATGAACGCATTTTGGTAATTAATGCTATCAAGAAACAAAGCCTACCAACAAATGAATAGTGCACAAGTAGCAACAAAGTGAAAGAACAGGTGGTGATACACTAAGAACAGCTGTACAGTAAAACCAACAATTTGAATTGGTGCAAACAAAGCATTGGTATGGGCAAAAGGAGATAGACTTCTAGGCTTTGTTCAGCTCCTCACCCAAAAGTTTACGCCCTATCCCATCGAATGACACATATATAGAGTATTAAATATTGACTAAAAAATAATTAATCGCACAGATTACGACTACTTTGTGAGGCGAATCTTTTAAGCCTAATTAGTCCATGATTGACAATAAAGTGCTAAAGTAACACATGTGCTAATGATGGGTTAATTAGGCTTAATAAATTCATCTCACGGTTTACTGACGGATTCTATAATTTATTTTTTTATTAGTATCCGAACACCCCATATAATACCTCCATGTGACACCCGATGCGACACCCCCAAACTTTACGCCCAGAAACTAAACAAGGCCCTGGTATCATGAACATCACATGCTGCCTTTCAGGTTTATCAGTAGTTACATGGGCCAGATTTATTGTATGCTGCCCCCTAAAAGAGTTGCAAGAGAAACGACTTGATTCTGCGAAATCATAAAGACGTGGAGTAATGGCCAGGGAAGGACAGCATCAGCAAGCAGCAGGCACTAGCGCTGCGACCACTGAACACAAAACAAGTTCCATCTTTATGGGCAGCACGTATTCGAAGCTTGGCCTGTGCCGAAGCCAAGAAGGCTGTGTGCTGCACCTGCACGTCCACCTGACCTGAGCGCACAACTACTAGTATCTCGTAGAGACATGGACACTGCCCTGGGCCTCAGCAGTCAGCAGGGGCTTAGAACTGAACCAGAAAGCGTGGCCAGCGCCTGAACTCTAACGTAATTTCTTGCAGTGAGTAGGTCACGCTGATTGCGCATGGCGCCAGTAAAAGTACTGAGCACGCACTAAACTACTGGTTTTGATTGCCACTGATTATAAGGCTGTGTTTACGCGAAATTTAGGAATTTAGCTACTATAGCATTTTCGTTTTTATTTGATAATTAATGTTCAATCATAAACTAATTAGGCTCAAAACGTTCGTCTCGCAATTTTCAACCAAACTGTGCAATTTTTTTTTATCTACATTTAATGTTCCATGCACGTATCGCAAGATTCGATGTGATAACACTTTTTTAGAAAGTTTTTGGAACTAAACACAGCCTAATAGTAGTAGTTGTGTGACCATCTGACGCCAATCAGTGCTGTTAAGAAACAGGATGGCATTGGTCATTTTGGAGTAGGGAAAAAAAGAAAGGAAAGAACAGTCACCTGAGATCCTTTGCAGTTCCACCACCAAGAGCTGCGTAGCTGGCAGCATTGTCCATGTGCAGCTGAGACGACCCCATCGACGAGGAGAACGGGGTAGATATATTGCTGGCCCCGCCACCTCCACCAGTGCTGCCGGCAATGGCCGGGTAAAGGGAGTGGTTCTGGAAGCTGCCGCCGTTGGTGGTGGTGGCGGCGGCGGCCAAGGGCAGAGCGGCGGAGACGGCCGCGGTCGCGGCGGGCGGTTGGGACTGGTGCACGAGCTGCGTTTCCACAGGCTTTCTTGAACGGTTGCGGCCGCGGTGCATGTGGCGCTCGCAGTACTTGGAGTCCGGGGCCGCCTCCTTGGAGCACCGCCACTTCTTGCCGTCCGTACGCCGGCACCGGCCCGGCTCAGGATCCAGTTTCTTGCCGAAGTACGTTGCGTACCCAACTGCTCACACAGAAAATCAGACGCTGTTATCCGTTATTTAAGCATCATTTATGCGTTTGCTTTAATGCTTTTATCATCTGCCTGTACGCAACCATCTGGGCTCTGCGGTGTCCAAATGGATTGGCATCAGTCGGACAGTACCGATGCAGGAGCAAGGTAGCGCTTCCTATTCTTAGCAGTCGGACAGAAATGGCGAGCTGCTGTGTCTTGCATTCAACGAATTTGCTTGCTGGCGAGTAGCGACATCGCCATTATTGATCATCCACAAAGAGAGGAAATCAAATGAAAAGTATTCGTACTATTGAGCCACAATGGTGCCTGCTACTGATGCTAACCTCTACTCCAACCACGAGTAAGCTCGGTATCAAATCAAACAGCACAAAATGACGAGCTAGCTAGCTAGCTAGCTCTGCCTCTATCATTTGATGAATCTTGAAGAGAGCACGAGCTCGGATTAAAAAAACCAGAAACTTCCCGGGAGCAAATCGGAGGTCTTGTGTAAAACACACGCGCGGTTCTTGAATCGCGCATCAGGGATTAACAAATGACCGGAGCAAATTAACTAATCGAGGCAAAGTACACTTGATTAGAATAAACAAAGAGTCAGGACCCCGGGGACGGAGCAAGCAGCCAAGCACCCAAGAAAGCAATACAGGAAGGAAGGATGGCGGCTGGCATGGCGCCGAGGAGAGGGAGGAATATGCCGTACGTGTGGGGTGGCCGTAGAAGCGGGTAACGAGGGAGTCGAGGCCGCGGCGCATAGGAACCACGAGATCCGGCGGGACGGGCACGCCGGCCACCAGGTACTTGTATATGAGCGCCTGCTGCTCCAGCTCCTCGTACTGCGCCGGCGTGAACGGCATCACCGGCCTCGCGGCCGGCCACCTCGCGCTCACCTGGGCGTCCTCCCCCAGCCCGCCGCCGCCGCCGCCGCCCCTGCACCAGCACACATGCCACCACGTCAAAACCGCCGCGAACCGGACGGCAAACAATGGGAGAGAGATACACGAGGGGCCAAGAAGAGCGACGAGCGAAATGACGACGGCGAGTGGTGGTGGTGGATACTTACGCGGAGAGCGGGGTGGAGCGGCAGAAGGGGAGGAGGGACGCCGTGGGCGTGGAGGAGCGGTGGTCGGCGCCTGCCGGGGAAAGAGAGGCGTACGGCATCGCCATCTCAACCTGTCTCTCTCGCGCGCTGCTTGCTCCCCGTGGCCGGCCGGACGCACCCCCTCTTTAATGAGCTTCCCCCGCAGGCTGGGCTCGTGATGTGCTTTGCTTCGTTCCCTCCCCTCGCCTCGCTCGCGCGCGCTGCCTTTATTGCCCGCTTTGTCTCTCTCTGCGTCGCTGTCTGCCTCGCGCTGGAACGTCAGGCGTGTCGTCTCCCGGCAAGGCGGCGAGCTGAGACTACACCCTATTCGATTTATCCGGTTCAAAACTACTTTTTAGTTATCGAATAATATTTTTCTCTCGCATATTTTAGCATAAGCTAAATTTAGAAGGTGTTTGGATCAAGCCGACTAAAAATTAGTTCTGGTTTTAGATGTCAAACAGGATGTTAAACATCGATTAATACTTCGGTCATTTGTTGATGGTTAGATTAATCTATGTTTAGCCTAGTATTAAAGAATGAACTAAATTTTACTCGGTGATCCAAGCGCGCAATCTGGTTTGGACACGAGGAGGGCACTACTGCACTGGTAGGCACCAGCCGGGCGCGAAGCTCTACTAGCTCCGACCCCTTCCCCCGGCTCCGTCCGGCCCAGCTAGATGACAAGCGATGCCTGCCTCCCCGTCTGTCCGGCTGTCCCTCTGGCGTTGTGGTAGTCCGTAGCACGGTAGTGTGAACTTGTGTTAACCCTTGTTTACTTGGCCGGAATCGGCATTTGCACAGTGTTTAATGTGATGATAAATATTGTAGCAATTTCGTTTGTATTTGTGAATTATTGTCTAAACATTGACTAATTAGGGTTAAAAGATTCGTCTCGTAAAGTTCAACCAAACTGTATAATTAGTTTTTGATTTCATCTACATTTAGTACTCCATACATATACCGCAAATTTGATGTGATGGTAAATCTTTTTTTTGCATAGGGCTTGTTCGGCTGGCTTTAAGCCAGCCGTCTGACTTGTTTTTTCTCTCACGAAATCACTGTTCATGTCCTGCCAGAATAGTATTTTTTCTCACAACAATCAGTCGGAACAGTATTTTTCAGTCCTGCCGAACAGGCCCATAGTGTCAAAGTTGGGAGATTGGAGAAATAAACACCCCCATATGTGTGTTTGTTGCTCTCTCTCCTCACGTACACGTACAGCTTTCTTCTGTTTCCTATGCTGCTTTTGTTTGTTTCGGGGCTTATTTTTTGCGCGAGCGGGAGTAGATATGGATGCAAGCACTCAGCCTGTTCGGGAGGCCGTATTGTATCGTGGATTATTTACTGCTGGTTGATTTGGTGTGAGAAAAAAAATATTGTTTCTAACTGAAAATTTACGATTATTTATGAAGCAAGCGAATAGACTGACTGTAGCGAGGGTGGTGACAAGCATCATGTTGGAGGAGAGAGACGAGGGCCGTGACTGTGGATTTGGGCTGTATCTGCGTCGCGGTTCCCAAGGCCGGCACTTAAAGGCCACAGGAGGGTGCCGGGACGCCGTTGCCGTTGCCTCCTGCACTTGCTTCCTGTCTCTTCCACTCTTCCGTCATAGCTCATGGGTGTCCGGGACGCTTGATAGGCCGTATTCACTCGAACTTATCCGTTATATCGTTTCAGCGAAATAACAATATTATTCTCTTATAATAAAAATCAGCATTAGCATAGCCGTTTTTCTAACCCGCCAAACAAAGCGAAAGTCTTTGCGACTTTTGGGGTGTTGGATGGCCAGACTAAACTTGAGTCATGTTATATCAGATATTTGACACTAATTTAAAGTATTAAATATAAATTAATTATAAAACTAATTACATAGATAGAGACTAATTTACGAAACAAATTTATTAAACCTAATTAGTTCATAATTTACGACGTGTGCCACAGTAAATATGTGTTAATGATGAATTAATTAGACTTAATAGATTCGTCTCGCAAATTAGTCTCCATCTATATAATTAGATGTATAATTAGCTCGTGTTTAATCCTCCTAGTTAGACTCTGAACGTATGATGTGTCCAGTCCCTGGATTCAAACCCCTTATAATTCTTTTGGACCGGACTATTTCAAATCCAAAATTTGTCTTCTCATGCTACTGCTGAATTTGCGATGTGAAGCATTCATAAGTTTAATGGTCTGTTTGGTGCCTTTCTAGTTCTGACTTCGTTGATAGCTTCAGTGCCATAGCCTAACAAGAAGAGTGTGTGCACACTTACTACTCTCTATGCACTAATGAAGTTTTTAATCTTACGATTATCAAGTCTTAATCACCCCACTAGGCATGAATCTTCGTTGCTCTTCAATGTGTTTCTTCAGCCGAACAAATGAGCAACAGAGCTTCAATGGACGAAATGGAGGGGTATTTATAAGGCAAGAAACTAGCCGATGCCTCTTCACCGAGCAATCATGAGGGCACCGGACCTATCCGGTGCAACCCTGCTGTCCACATTGGACACATACAATGAGTACTCCAACGGCTAGTTTGAAAACTAGTTGTTATTGTACGGTGCATCGGGTGCGTGAGTACCGGTGCTCATACACGACCTCAAACTCTCGATTGCAGACCTCTTTGGAACCCCAGTCCAGTGCAGAGTTCGATGAACCACCGGGCACATCCAGTGAGTGCATTGGCTCCTAGTCGGCCTGCAGGGCTCTTTTGACGCCGTGTGTGGCACCACCACGCCTGGTGCACATCGGACTCATAGGTGTCACGCTGTTTCCTTCATCTAAAAACCAGTGCACTGTGCATATTTGGTGCACTTGCAGCACCACCAACTCATCCATTTGAAACACTCTTTGAGTTGGATTTGATATCAAACATGTCTTGGGCTTTCATAGAACTACCTAGCGTTAGTTTTCACAAGTATGCGTCACATCCACTCACTAGACTCAACTAGGTCAAGCTACCCATTCGTGCCCCCCTTTATAGTACGACCAAAGGGAAACTAAAGATCCTATAACTAATCTAAGTGTCCCTCAACACCACTGACTCTTAGAACTATTCAATCCTTAATCTTCGCGCTCATCGTTTCAAAACCGAAATTGAATACCATCAATAGGGGCATGAAAGCCATAATTGCTCAATCAATCACTATTATCGTGATCTAACTTTTATTACCTCAGCAAAACACACGTTAATCACAATAATCTTGTGTAATTATTAATCATTGAAACCCAACTATGGGCCTCGATGCTTTCAAACCGAAACACCTTATCAAAGATGACTATGTTATTCGAAAACTATATTTTATTGTACTATATGAAATGTTGTGATACAACATGAGCGCATTGTGTTTATTTTTTTTTGAGACCCAGTTACAGATGCAGATGCTCACATACACGAGCGCATACTCATCCCTATGAGCACCTCCGAAAAACTGAGTTGGACCGGTAAATCTCGAGATTGATAGAGTCACCACAGGTGTCTTGCTATCGACAGGTACGTCGCATACTACTGAAAGAATAGCGCTGTTAAATTCTAAAATAAATCCAGGAAAATACGAGCAGTCATGTCAAGTCGGCGACTTGATCCCAGGTGAGCCGGTTCCAGCACAAGCAACCCAACCAGCTGAGCTATGCTTTGCTATAAAGACTTATGTGATGTTTTAAGTGTCATGACACGATGCGATGCCATCACATCATGAGTGCGTTGTTGCTTGAAATTAATCAGCTAGAGTATGTGAGAATCGTGTTATGGTACTATTTATTTTATTTTGGTATGGAGTGATGGTTGATCGTATGCAATGTAAGCTTTAAGAGTAGTAGCTTACAGTATTAATTAATCTAGTTGCCTGTATTGCTGTCTATCTATGGCATGCATTGTGCTACGGCCCTTATCAATTAGCCTTTGCTCTTATAGTCTTCTGTCCCGTTTGAAGCTAGCGCACCATTGTAGCAGACGAGCAAAACTGCAAGGATGATATACGCGCAGCGCAGGGTTGCGGATCCACAGGGCGCGGTCTTGTGAAGTTGAAGTGATGAATCCTGCTGATTAATAATGAGTGAAAACTGAAAAGACCTAGCCTGACCAGTGTGATACCTGTTCTCAAGTCTGTATGTAGACAGTTAATGCCTGCACAAAAGAGGACAGTAAAATGTCAACTCGGTCAAATGGGGTCTGGTATTCTGGTCCTCCGCTGTCCGGTCGCTTGTTTTTCTCTGTGCATCACTACCGAACCTGACTTCCACTGAGATAGACACAAATGACACGCCATGATATTATAATAACGTTACTATAAAGTAGAGTGCAGTATAGTAGTATAGTATACGTATAGGTATAGGTATGGAGATATAATAATAGACGACAAGTCACATGCCATGCCAAGACGAAATGACAGTGCCAGGAGCCAAGTTCGTACCGCCGGTTCAGCAGCAGCAGCGACGTCACGCTGAAGTGAACCGGCCGGCAGCGTCAGGCTCCGCCGCGGCCTCTGCCACTACAAGCTGATCAGCGCGCGGCGACCGGCGAGAGAGCCTGCGCGCTGCGGCGTCCATCACGACAGGTCGAATGCATCTCGAAGCTGCCGCGACGACTCGGGCCGTGTCGTCCATGGGGGGGCATGGGATGGGCCAGCGTCCGCTTCATCGTTGCTATGGTGCTACTACTGGTATCTTTCTCGGATGGACAGCGTTGCGAAACACGAAGCTACTAAATCCGATCTAAATTATAATACGTTTGATTTTTTTTATCCTCAAATTTGATCACTTGTCTTATTTAAAAATTTGTGCTAAATATCACTTTTTTGTTTTGACTTGCTTTATTAATAAAAATTCTTCGTGAATGACTTAAATTTGACCATGTTTGTATAAATTTTTCTAAACAGGACGATTAAACTTGTGTAAAAAATCTAACGAATTATAGTTTAGAACAGAGGGAGTAGATATCTTTTAAGACTAGGAGTACAGTACTGTAAAGTCTACTAGTATGCTGCACAGGGGCGCAGACAATACGTCAGCGACGAGGAGCGAGCGAGCAACCGAACCAGAGTACTAAAATATTTCCTCAAAGGACCCGGGGGGCGGGGTCGGT